CCGGGTGCTGCCTTGAGAAGAGACTGAGAGCTGCCCTGTTTTGCAGAGGTGGAGAATGGTGTTAGGGGAGTAAACAGCTTTCGAGGTCCCAGTGACTCCCGTGGGCAGCGCCTTGCAGACAGCAGGGCTCACATTTTAAGAAAGGACGATTCTTCTACTCACAGAGGAGCTGGGAACCGGCCAGGAAGGCTGTGTGGCACCGCCCTATCCGGGATCAGTTGCAGGTTGAGGGGTTGTCGTCTGAGCCAGGTGGGACTCTCCCTGTGGTCTCGCACAAGTTCAGAGTTGCCTACTTCGAGGAGCCAAGAACTCGGCCCAGCCAAGGGCATCTGTCAGGCATCAGTCCAGGGTATCAGGACTCCTGTTCTTAACTGCTCCCCCTTTATCCCCCCACACCACCCCCTGCCACCCCCTCACCCAACACACACACACAGGAGCACCATCCCCGGCCAGAAGACTCCTCAGAGGAGTTATGATGGTCATGGATTTAGGAGGTGCACAAGTACTTGACCTTGGAGAACTGGCCCCTAGAGACCCCCATTTCCTAAAGACCTTCTCAGCTCACATTGGCTTGTGGCCTCAGGGAAAAGTGCCTCACTACTGAACTTTCTGGTCCTGTTTGGGGAAAGCTGAACATGGCCCAGGATGTAGGGAAGGGTGAGGATCCTGTGAAACCCACTTTTCCAATAAGAGCATCCCATTAGCCCGTTGCATGTCTAGGCATTTCTCCCTGAGGCAGTTCCTGCAGATGTCAGCAACCAGCCCTATTCCTGGAGAAGGCAGCCTCTGTTTGGGTCTTATCATCTAACTAGGAAGAGATTTAATAATCACACACCCTTTCCTAAGCCTACTTGGGATTTAAATGCATTTTGCTACCTTGAGGACAGCTGGCAATGTACTCCTCTCAAGTCTCAGACCACATTCTAATAGAATCAAATAATAATTTTACTTGAGGTAATTTAGCAAACTTCTCTATGTAAACAAAGAAAAAGTTAGGAGAAGGGATGAGTTCAGTTGTTTGGTTTCATAAGATTTAGAAAAATAGCTTGGAGCTACAGACTGGCAAATGTTATTGGTAATAAGATAAGGGATGCTGATTGGTCATAAGGGAATTTCTGAGCCCAGGTGCACTGTTTCAAGAGCTCTAGGGACCTTTTTGGTTTGTATGTTTATTAGCTTGTTGTTTGGGCTGAGGAGGGGAAAAGATGAAAAAGCTAAACATAAATGTTACGGTTTCTTACTTAATTGCAATAGGAGATATCCCTGGAGATATACTTCAATTGGTTATTTTAACATGAATTTAGGAGTAAAAGTGTACTGAAAAGTTTAGAAAATCTCTTCTTAAAATTGGCATATAATGCTGCCATTGGGGACTGGAAGATGGAAGTCTGCGGCTTGCTCATGGGCTCGGCATTCATGTAGGTGTAGATCTCACAATGCTAACTTGTCTTCACATGGAAATACTTCAGATTAAAGACAGGCCTTCAAATCCTCCTATTTGCTAAGGTGCATTTAAGTGATAGCAAGTCCTAAGCAAGCATTCAGCCTCTATTGGCACACTCACTCTATGCCTAAGCAACCCCCCCTCAAAAAAACCCCAAACCCCTCCTAGTGTGGAGTCATCTCATTTGTAGTTGTGTTCTCAGCATTATCCTGGAGGTTACTCAGTTATATTGGGAACTAGATTATGATGTCAGAAAAATATCCTTTTCGCAAGGGCAAGAAGTCAGGGTCCTGAGTATATATTGAGGAGAATTTCTACTCAAAGTAATAAACAGGGCAGCTTAGCAGAGCTACCTGCTTTCTAATAATTGCCTTTAGTGAGAACAGAAAAGTCTCCTTAGGAAGTTTTTAATTCATTTAAGACTTAATTTTACTTTTCTGAAGAACAGCAACAAAAATTATTTCTGGAAGAGACCGCTGAGAAGATCCCCTTCGTTTGGCCAGAGGAGCAGAGAAGACTGTAAATCAAGGAAAAGGTGAAGTAATACATTATTAGGAAGCTTCAGGATTCCAAGTATATAAAGACTATTTATTTTTCCTGTGTCTATATTTTCTCTTTTTGTGGAGGAGAGGAAATTCTAAAAATATTTGATAGATGTTTTGCCATTAACACCAGAAAAGTGTGTGGGGAAAAGAAAAGAGGGAGGGAGGGCGGTCCATTTTGTTTCATTAGTAGAAAAAGCAACATAAATCAAAGCAGTCTATTGATGGCAGCCTTTAATTTATAATGTTCTGAGAGTATAATGAATTTATTTACGGCATAAGTGATTTGATATTTTCAACCTATGTTTTAACCTGTTATTGGGAGAGGGTTGACTTTTTAAAGCCTGAGTAGTTTGAAATTTGGCTAAGTACCTTTGGGTTTTTTATTGTGGAAGCAAATATTATCATTTTAATATTAGACAACTTGCAAGTATTAAATAGTTCATTTGTGATTTACTTTTTAAAAAAATTTTTTTACAGATTTTCCCCCTTCAGATCGAATAATTACATTAAGGCTCCTGCTTCTTTCTGGAAAGAATTTATTATAAATCAGAGTGTCAGAGATTCAAAGGTTGACATTTCTGAGCGCTGATACTTTGTCTTTTCATGCCATGCAAACAGATCTAACATTTAGAAATTCTTAAACGAAGGAAATTGTGGAAATTCCCAGATTTTTTTTTTCCAGTGGGAGGAGGCCAAGCTTTTTAAATATGGAGTTTAGGGTAATCAAATGAGGGAGAAAGGAGCTTGTGAGAAGGAGTGACTCCCACCCAAACTAAGCAGCTAATGTTAACTGCTAGCTATCTGCACTTAAAGAGGGGAAAAGGGAGCCGAGATAAGCGAGGGAGAGGGCGCTGTTTCACCCACCCTCGGTAAAATCCGTGGTGCATCAGCCAGGAAGCCAGGCTTGATAAAGGTCAGGCTCCCTAAATCTCCTCAAATCTCCAAATCACACTCGCCTTCTAGAGAGTATTGAAACGTACCAGTGGGGCTGTCTATCTAGAAGACAAACATCCTTTGAATGGTTCCCAACTACCCGCGTTCATTTCAGAAAGATAGAGGAGTCCGTGGGGCGGGCTTTCACATCCGCTCCAGTCCTTTCCTAGCTGATACTGCCCAGTAATTCAGAGCAGTCTTTCTTCCCCGCCCAATAGTTTGGGAAGAACCCCCTGCTTTCCCTTCGCTTCTCCGAGGCAGAGCCGCGTACAGCGATAGTTCCGCTTCATCTGTGGGCTGAAGCGACACGGATAGAGTCATCCCAGAATATGTAACAGGGGACTGGGCTGGGGGTGGGGTGGGGTGGGGGCGAGAGAGTAGGCTGTCTGGGAAAGGGTGGGTTAGACTCTCGTCGGTGGGCGAAGGGGCCGTGTGCGCTCCCCAGGAGTGTCCGTCCACCTCGGCAATTCAAAAGAGGGTCTCCATCACGTATGCGGGTTTTCTTGGACCAGCTCCAGATGTCCTCAGCTGTTCTAAGACAGCAAGAAATGTAATCTCGACCTGAAGTCTGAAACCTTTTTTTACTCTTCTAAGCGAAGGATCTTCCCCCCCACCCCTTAGCCGATGCTCCCCACTCAGCGGGTGCCTGGAAAGGGCCATGGAGGAGGGTTCCCATGTCGCTCCCCAACCTCCCGGGCGGTCTTAGGGCTCCTTAAAGCCACGGGCCAACCGCCCGCGACCTCCCCGCGGAGGATTCCGGGCGTCCGTGCTCTCCGGCCCCTGCTCCTTGGCCTCCGCCTTGCCAGTTCGCCCCCGGCGGCCTCGGCGGCCTCGGCGCCCGCGCGTCCAGCCGGGCGCCGTGACTGTTCGGGCCGCCCGCACGCCCTCGGGGACCTCAGCTCGCAGCTCCGCCGTGCAGTCTGGGGCCGGTCGGACCCAGGGGGAGCTGGCAGATCCGCTCACGCCCCCGGCCCCGGGACGGCCCGGCGGGACCGGCGCTCTGGGGTGGGGCTCGG